TTCATCCGCTCACCATGTTGTTAAAAAAAGACAGAAAAAAGGTGAGTTTCCAAAACTCACAAAGAGAGCAATAATGGGTCAAAAATGTGAATGAGGGCATGTTTAAATCTTCAACATCTTATACAGAAAAATATTATTTTAAATCAAATTAATTAAAAAAAAAAGTGTTTATTTATAGGCAAGTCATAAAAACCAGTGACTACAGTGTGTTTCACAATCAGGCAGGGGAAAACCTACAGCTATTTATAGAGGCTAAACTTTAAAATCCATCATTCTTTTCTTAACCTTATTTTGAACTCTTGCTTGAACTTGCAACTAGATGCAGAAGAAAAGTTTGAGGAAATGCTGAAGAGGAAATGAGTTTTGCTCATCAAGAAGGGCACAAATTGGTTAAACAATAGAGGGTAAATATGAACGAGGGCAGCTGAGTACACTCACTCATACACTGTACAAGAGCTCTGCTCATGGTGAAGCTGTGTGTGAACACATTTTAATCCAACACAAACACAGCCAAACATTTTAAAAAAAGGAAATGAAGCTGGCTTTGCACTAAAGGGGAGTTTCACCAACTTGGTTTGGCCACATTTGTTACAAAATGAGACTGCTGCTCTCAAGACTATTGGCGTTAGCTGCCACACACTTCAGTTTCTGCACACAGGAAGAAGGGAAAACGGTTTTTCAATATTCACTCATTGGCAAAATGTATCAGTGGTGTTAGAAAAGTATTAGAAATAAAGAAAGTAATCAACTGATCAATGAAGTCAATACAATTCAAGATGGTCGCCGCATCTGACTAAAACATAAAAACAGATGAATTCCCGCCTATTTTACCAATTTTTAGCTAAAATTTGATGTTAGCAGCAAAGCATCATTCCCAGCTCATACTCAGTGTAGGTTTCTTCCTCATGAGGGAGTTTTTCCTTTCCACTGTCGCCTTCATGCTTGCTCAAGATGAGAGTTCTGTGATGGAGTTAAACTCAAAGCAGTCTGCTCCTCAGATAAATAATGTTAAATGATTATTTTTATATATGAATATTTCTGTTCAGTGCTCTGAGATGACTTCTGTTGTGACTTGGTGCTATATAGACTGAATTGAATTGTATAATATTTCTGTCTTACAATGGTAAGAACTATTATTATCAACCCAGTCTGTTAGCAAAATATATCATGAACCGCAGAACAAATTGTAATAACTAATTGAGCCCTGGATGTTTATCTACAACCGATTGACTTTTAAATGTATTGAATTCAAGATGTCCACCACAGCATGTTTAGCCAACACAAAAGTGACTACAGCTCTGTCACTTTCACAGATGCTGAGCTTAATTTGGTGTGGTAGTAGCTGAGAATCAGATCATGTGAGAGCTGCAAGAGCACAGTAGAGTTCCTTCCTTCTCTTCGTCTCAGTGCGGTCATAATTGACTGGACGAACATGGCCATCAGAAGAAGCGTCCAACGTTCAGAGAAAAGACAGACTCGTACCGAAAACATGACGCCTGAGTCCTGTAACTTAATTTATCACATTCAAGTGTGGAATTACATGCAGAGACTCAGCTGTCTCTATGTGCTTTTTATTCATCTTTGTGTGCACTAACAGGTAAAACTTCAAGGTGGAATTTCTCCAGCTGATAAATGAGTTTCCATTTTAACCTCTGGGGCTAGAACACATAATTTGTCTTTACTGTAAACCTAGTCATTTGCAACAAATGTCCTCGTTACATAAAACATCACGAGAACACAACTGGTATTACTTCCTTCAAAAGGTTATAACAAGACTTTTTTTTTTGGTCTTTTGTTCTTGCTTTGCTTGCATGTGGCAAGAAAAAAAAAAAAACTTGCCTCCTTAATGCTGTGTAGATCCTGTTAAACCAGACTGTGGAGTGTGTCAAAACCCAGGGAGGAGCCTCCTTCAAAGTATGAACCTGTCAGTCATGAAAGCAAGAAGTAAAGTGATGTGATGGGAGGGGTGGACATGAACAGAAGGCTTACATTTTTTTATTTGATAAAAGTTTTTTATGCTATCAGCATGAAGTCACTGGTTAATATGGGCTTTTTAAAGAAGTGGAAGCAGCACTTCCTGTTGTATAACTTCCTCTTATATCAAGCAGTGACAGAAACTTTATCTAAATCATTTTAAGCTTCTATTTCACTTTATGTTTAGTTGCAGTTTGTGTCAGATATAGCCTCAACATGAGTAAAATATACACGTGTATTTCAAGGGGCTGCTACCTTTTTCCATTGTTCCTTTGCTCCTGACGTTTGCAGTGATGATACGGTGACTAACTCCTGGTTTTGTCCAGTAATTCTTGTCAGCGCTCATTGCAAAGCTGGTATGTCACTTGTTACCTTTGCTTTGAAACTATAAATAGCTCTTCATGAACCTGACAGAAAAGCTGCCAGTTGACTAACCCTCTGTTGTGTAGGGGCTGATGACTTAGCAGCACATGATCAGTGTGCTTTGTGTTGCGCTAAGAAGGGAAAATGTGCCTCATTCAATCAGCCCATAAACCCATCACACTGATAACCACGGTGGATTCCCTGGATTTTACCTTCTAGACAAACTCTTTTTTTTTTAAGTTGTCTAATAAAAAATAGGGGCCAAACACTCATCCTGAAACTAGAGCACTGATTATGCTCTTTCTTGTTTTGCTTTCAGCACTGATATATTGTCTAATAAATAGTGAAGGTGTGACATGTGAAACATAGTGATGATACAAAAAGAAACCAACTTTTTTCATAAAGGTATCAGGGTTTGTCTTAATTCAGCCTTTTAAGTGTTTAAATGGAAATTATTGGCTAATTTGAAATGGGATTCTGTGGAGAGGTTATAAAGCAAATTAACAGGATAGGCTGATAATTTTCATGGGAATGTTCTATCAAGGAGGGATTCTGGTTTGGTGGCCTCAGGATTCCATCCCTGCTCTTTGCAGATGATGTGCTCCTGTTGGCGTCATCATGTCGTGGTCTTCATCTCGCACTGGAGTGGTTCATAGCCGAGTGTGAAGCGGCTGGAATGAGAATCAGCACCTCCAAATCTGATGCCATGATCCTCAGTTGGAAAAGGGTGGATTCCTCTCTTCAGGTCGAGGGTGAGGTTCTGCCTCAAGTCAAGGAGTTCAAGTATCTCAGGGTTTTGTTCACGAAGGGAAGAATGGAGCGTGAGACTGACAGATGGATTGGTGCAGCCTCTGCAGTATTGCGGACTCTGTACTGGTCTGTTGTGGTGAAGAGAGAACTGAGCTGTAAGGCAAAGCTCTCTGTTTACCAGCCGGTCTAATTTCCTACCCTCACCTATGGTCACCAGCTCTGGGTAGATACCGAAAGAATGAGATCGTAGATACAGGCGGTTGAAATGAGTTTCCTCCTCAGGCTAGCTGGACTCTCCCTTACAGATAGTTTGAGAAGTTCAGTTATTCAGGGGAGACTCTGAGTAGAACACTGCTCTGCCACATCGAGAGGAGCCAGTTGAGGTGTTTTGGGCATCAGAATGTTGAGGTGCTTTGGGCATGTCTGACTGGGAGGAGACCCTGGTGAAGACCCAGGACACAATAAGGAGACCATGTCTCTCAGTTGGCCTGGGAATGCCTTGGAGTCCTCCCAGAAGAGCTGGAAGAGGTGGCTGTGGAAAGTGATGTCTGGACCTCCTGATCAAGCTGCTGCCCTGGCAACCAGACTTCGAAACAAGCAGAAGATGATGGATGGATGGATGGATGGATGGATGGATGGATGGATGGATGGAT